CAGACCCCTTAGGGCTGCCGGCAGGAATGTGGCTTCAAGTGATCCCTCAGGAGGCTGCAGCAGTCCTCCCATCCTCCCTGCCCCCCCTCATTTCACAGCACGCTTCCCACCGCTGCCTTGGAGCTCCTCTAATAGGACCCTTGAGTTCAGCGGGCTCCCACGGCCCAGGGGATGAAGCCCTCACCCAACAGCAGTGATGCATTGCTTGCATTCCAGTCGACACAGGCACACATTGGTACAAACCTTTTATTATCTCACACCTCCTTGCCACAGCTATGGAAACGACCACATTCCTATTTCACAGGTACCGTAAAAATTTACTGAGTGTAAAATGCGCTCACAATGTAAAAATTCTTGAGGATTGATGCGTAAAGACTTTCTGTAAACGGAACTTGGCAGAGATGTTCACCACGAGGGAAGAGGCAGGCACCGTCAGCCTGAGCACGCTGGGGCAGCAGCGTTTGCACAGTGTAGAGGCAGAGTGTCGCGAGAACTGGCTCCCCCAGATTCCCTGCGTCATTCAAGGGCACAAAGAGAAACACACCGCGGGGCAGACCCCGCCAGGTGCGGGCACCCCACCCGAAATCCGGGCGCTACTGCTCGGGGGGGTCACCATTCCTCCCAGCTGCTTGCTGGTGCTCAGGCAGCTGAAGGCTGCGCTGGTACGTACTCTAACAGGGGTGGATAGCCGCCTCCATGGGTGCTGCCGTGGTAGGGCTGGGGCCTGCGCTAGCCACAGTGGGACTACAGCTCCCAGGGCTCCGGCCTTTTGGCTCAGTATTGCAGGGCTGGTTTGCAAATCCACACGCTAACAGAGGTAAGTATTTTAGGTGATGCCATGCCTGTTGGGTCTCCAGGCTGATGCTATTTTTTAAAATAGTCCTGGATACACGAGACAATCTGTTAATAAAGGGAAGTTTGGAAGGACCCTCATAAGCAATACGCAGCAGTTACTGAGCAACAACATATATTTAAGTAGCTTGGAGATTTTGCTTCCTTTCGGATTTTTCTCTCCATCCTCCTGTGTTACAAAGCAATGAAAATACCAGTAGTCACAGTACCACAGTCCCTACTTGTTCTACCTGTGCCAGTTACGGATGGTACTCAGAGCCCACAGATCATATTCTCACAAAGTCAGAGGAAAGGCCGTTTGTAGGGTACCTTCTGGACCAGATACTGCCACGAAATCACTAACCGCAAAATCGACATCCCCCAAAGTTTTGGCTAGTTTGATCAACAACAATCCAAACACGTCCCATCCGCAATCCAACACTAATGCTTTTAAATGTACATCCTGAGCTTCTGTATCATTAAGGTAATAGGTAAAGAGCAGACTGCAAATGAGAGGAAATATCTCATTAGAGCAGATGATCTAGGAGAGAACAGTCTGACACAGACTCCAAATTCTTCTTTTGTGAATAATCAACGCTACTCATCAGAGCGGGCAGCAGAAAAACAAACCCAAAGGAAATTTCACACAGCTTGCCCAGCAAAAATGACTACTCAGGGCTCATCCCTCGCCCCAGTCCTCGGGACGCTGGAGACCTCTTTCCCAGCTATCAAACCTAAGATCTTTTCTTTCCAGAGTTTTAACTTTTTCCTGAAATCCCAACCGCATTTCTTCCAAGGACGTTGCAGCCCCACAAGCACACGACCCGGCCTGTGCCCTTGCAGAACCCACGCCGCTGCTCCTGGGGCACCACAGCGGGGACCCAACCCAGCTGCAGGTGCCCCAGGCTGCCCAACAAGCCTGTGCACGTCCTCTCAGAGCTCCCAACTGATGTATCACTGAGGCACCAAAACTGCTTAAAGCAAACCAATCTTCAACAAAAGCAGATCAGTAAAGTCCACATGCAGATACAAAGCATTTACAAGAATTTATCTTGTTAAAAATGCAGTAATATACTGTACTTCTCTTTGCATCTTCTCAGAGACCCAGGTATTTTAACGGAAAAAGAGGATACACCTCCTCTCAAATTTAGGCACTTGGTTTGAATGCAAAGCATCCTCTTAACCTGCTGCGCCCCAGAGCTGTGCTGACGCTGCCCTGGCAAGCACAGTTGTGTCACGCTGCAGCACGGCTTTCCACAGACCTCCCCACATCCACCAGTGGAGAAGGAGAAGGCGTGTATCGAGCATGCTTTCCTCGGTGAAGTTTCAGAGCTAGACCCAACAACCTGGGCTCCCTTCCTTCCGTGACAGTGCTTGGCGCAGGATCACCGATTTGCACAAGATGTAAAGTTCACCACTCCCTCACTGGCTCCCTCAGGACACTTCTGTCCTATGCCTGCCATCTCCTCTGAGGCCGGAACTACCAAACGAGGCTGCTTCATCTTCCAAACCGACGATCCCAAGCACAGCTTGTCCAAAAAAAGCCACATCATTCAGAGCTTCCCCCCGCTCAGCATTTACGTGCACACAGAAAACTCAGCATGCGGCTCTGCTTCCCAACAGCGGGATTGCTCCGCTCCTTAACGTGGACAAACCCCTTTTGCCGATATCCTAGAGAGGGCAGAAAGCTGCTGTTTGTTCTTGAATTCACATGTAAATGGCTTATCATAACTGAAAACATACGCCTTCACTTCTACAGAAGAGCAGCAGCAGGTTTTGATCCTCAGAGAACAACCTCATCACAGTCGTCTTGGGATTTTACTTTTCCTGTTCGTGATGCCACACTGGGGCAATTTCCTCTGCTCAGTGGTTAGGTACCACGGTGGCAAGAACACCTGTGGGGAGTCCCTCACTAGCAGTTCTGGTACAGATGAACCTAAAGGACAACTCAAAACAGCACTGGCTTCAAGGCTCACACCCTAAGGATTTCCCCCCCCAAGATAAAAATCGATAAATCATCTAATAATCCCTTCTTAAAGTTATTCCTTACACAAGGATAATGACAGATTGCAAAATACAGATTGCAAGAAAGACATCTTTCAGCACACACGGGTTTTTTCCATGAGATTTGGAATTACAAGTTGTAATTTGCTACTCGAAGACAAGAGATTTATGCTCAGGGATCCCATAATTTCCTTTGTGTTCTTCAAACAATTTTCTTAGTTTCTGTAGGTACAACGCATGTAGCTCTTCAATCTCTTCGGTGGTGGGGTTCAAGTTCCGTTTCACAGGGATGGGGCTTCCCACTGTAAATCAAACACAATGGCAGCATTAGCTTCATGGACGAATGCTCTCACCCTCTAACAGCTCCAGCACAGCTCCCAGTGAGGCAGCAGAGTCGCAGCACAATTCTGCTGCCCTGAGGCCTGATCCTGCCTTTCACAAACCCGAGCCCTGGGTCTGGTTCCTTACCTTTGCTCAAGTTCAGATAAAACACATCTAAAAACCCATCGTTTGGGTTTGGCAGCAAAAGAGCAAGTGAGAAGGGGGCTAAGCTCTAACTCCAAGGAGCAGTTTACACTTCAAAACACAATCCCATGGGCTATGTGCAGTCTTGCCATTGGGGCAGTACACCACAGGGTAAAAAGAGCATTTAAAAAAATGTACCTTCTCGCTGTCTTCTGTTCTGATCCGCTTACCAAAGGAATCCAACGTGAGGGACACACCTAAGAGGACGGTGGTGCCCTCAGCCACGCAGCCACACCGCCACACCAACAGGACTGAAGGAAGTACAGGTACGCCCATTTATTCCAGGTGGGTACGGCTGCACCAGGCCAGAAACGATGGTGGCTACACCACAGCCTAGGGAGTGGCAGCACGTGAACCCCGAACCCTGCAAGGTGTCTCTGAGCCACCCGTTGCCCACACGCATCATCCCAACTGACGCGTTCTCCAGGCACTGCGCAAAGCCTGCTACCTGCTCTGTCCAGCCGGAGCCAGAGGAACCATGGGAGCTAATTCCACAAAAGTCCAGAGGGTCAGCCTCCTCCTCCACAAAAAGCTATGGCTAAAAAGCCTGCACTATGCCAAGAGAAGCCTCCCGTGATCTCAGTCCTCCTGGCGCTGTTCAGTCACTACAGATGGACAGCGGTTCTTGCACTGCGGGCACTCAGAGCTTAACAGACCTGGCCGAGATGCCAGAGGAACCCTGCAGAAAAGCAGAGAGGTAAAAGCACCCCCCCGGGAGCTTTTACAAAGGCACCTGCAAGTCCCTTTCAACAGATGTTGCCACGTCAAATTGGATGGTGTTGACTGAAGGGAAAGGAAGTCTCGCCAGAACCACAAAGGGGCTGATTCTGCACGTTCCTGCTGCAGCTTGGGCTGCCAACAACTCTTAGGCCTTGCACGGTGCTGAAATTCCGACTTTACGTGGCTGGGGTGGGAACCCAGCCCTGGATTGAGCAACACCTCGGGGGGTGAAATCAATAGGCATCCAATTCAGGATTTCCAGCAGCATGACTGGAAGCACCAAACCCAGTGCAGGCTTCTTGTGCAATTGGAAGCGGCACTCATCTCCCTCATTTTCTGTGCAGCTTTAAGCAACCTGCTTTATTTGGTATTTCAGAGTTGGTTTTATTTCCAAAAACCAGTAATAATTTCCAGGAACAACAAAAGCACTTCACTCGCCAAGCCCAAAACACTCCGATAGCGGGGAGCTTGATTTTACGGAACTGCATCCCCTCGCTTTAGGATCCACAGCGTCTGACCCAGGAGGAAACACGCCGATACCCAGCCACGTTGTCAACACCCGGCTAACCGGCTCGGGTGGGGCTCAAGGCGACGCTGCTGCACCTTTCATGAGCTGAGCCAACACTTTCAAAGCTGTGTTGAGCCATACGGAGCCCCTCCACCTAAAAAATGCAGGGAGGTGCTGATGGTTTTCAAACACCAGGAGACACCAAAGGTTAGGGATTGAATGAGATGATACAAGTAGTTCTGTTGCAAGACTCAGGTCTGGCTGATCTGTAGCACTTCCATGCTGTAGCCATGGACCAGCTCTGCCCTTGCAGTAAATATTACAGCGATGAAGATTTGCCACCAAGTACAAGACATTCTAAGTTTCAGAACAGTCTCGGTGTCATCAACCCAAGGAAAAATTACAGCAAATATGTTGTTCTCGTTCCAACGCTCTGAAAACTTTCTGGCTTTAAAAGAAGGGACATTTTTAGCCTGCCTGTGCAGAACGTGAGCTTTAAAAATTAAATACTTTCTATGACATGTAACTGTATGAACTGATAAAACACAGATTTGCATGGAATTTAACATAGAAAGAGCTACATTTTTGTCATAAACATTTTGATTTCTTCTGTACTAAAATCAAATCATCTCTGTAGTAAAGGGAGTGCCTTCTTGCATGTCCCTCATGGAACACCAGAAAGCCTCGACTCGTTTTTCTTTAGAAACAGGCTTCACTAGTTCACTCAGCTCAGAACCTCGCTAAAAATGATTTACCCAAAAGATACAGGCAGCCAGCAATTGCCTTTGCATGAAGCCCAGCACCCAAGTGTGGCTGTCAACAGCACTAGTTAAAGCCATCAGAAATCAAAAGACATCCAGTCCCACGCTCCAGTGAGAGCAGATAAGCGGGGATGAAAGCTTTTGGGGAAAAACACTCTTCCAAACTGCCTGTCGACACGGCATGCACGCTCCCAATAAACATGAATGGATCTTGCCATGGGGAAGGAACCACAAGGGAAGGAGCTCCCAGGGCAGCTGCAGTGCCATCTGAGCAGCAGCCTGCTGAAGGGCTGTGGCAGAGCTGCCGCTCACTTCCCTCCTACGCCTCTCCCTGCATCCATGAGCCCTGCGCCAGGACTGCACCAGCTCCCTCCAGGAGCCTTGTGCCGGAGCACCGCTGCGGAGGCTGCGCATCAGCTGAAACACCCAACCACTGCTTCTCTGCAGGGCTGGGAAATGAAGGTGCTGGGCATCTTCGAAAGTAACTGCAGCATCCAGAACCTGCGGCAACAGCCCCCGGGCTGTGGGAGCCCTCTGGTATGGACTGGACAGCCCGCAGGTGTCTCTGAGGACTGCTGAGGACAGAAGCCTGTGAGTAACTGGGAATGAAGATTTTGGCCTGGGACAGAAACAGCAAAGAGGAAATCTCCCCTTCTCCCCCTTGGGGAAGGGCAGGAATTAAAAAAAAAGGGAAGTATTTAATTTACCCCTCACATGCTTGTTTTAGATGCACAGTAACCAATTGTTTCTGCTAAAACAGATTTATAAATTCACAGAGATATTAGTACTTACACACTTAACATTTGGAAAAGCACTGGAAAAGACCCAGGGAACTTACCAACTGTATGAATAGGCTGCCTGTAGGGTATTAGGCCAAAACTGTACTGAAACACTCCTCTAGCATGAAATAGTGGTAAAGCAAAGCCCATTATCTTCTGCAGCTTCTCCTGTACGTTTCGAAGCCATGAACCTTTGGGGTTTGCCACTTGCTTGAATAGTTCATTTTCACCGAAGGAGAACACCGGGACCAGATGAGCCCTGTAAAACAAGGAACCCATGGAGAAGCCCACGTCAGCCTGCGCTTGCACGGCGGTTCACATCCGCAGCGTGGAAATGGTTTCACTGGCACAGAAAGCTTCGTCCGCTCTAAGACTTCATCGGCAACAGGCATTCAGTTCTTCCGATGTGCAGCTGCTTTTTGGCTGCCTTGGCCGTTTTGGGGTTAAAAACAATTTAAAAGGTGATTGGCGTACAACTAGCAACTAGCTTTTGGGCAGTATTTAGCTGGTGGGTACCCATCACACCTTGTTATGGCTGTTCCTAATCGTAAAAATTAATAATTGTATATACCATAATTATCTTACAATGATCCTCTCCACCACGGTTTCAGCAAGCCCACTCTTGTTCCACTGCACTTCCCCCCTGGCAAACAAAGAGGCCTGGCTTCTAACCTCATCGTGCTCCCAGCTGGGTGGCATCAAAACCGGAGCTTGGCTCTCCTCTGCCTTTTGACCGGAGCAATGCGTGCACTTGATTTCAGCACAGAAACCGTGATACAAACCAGACAGCCTTACAGACACGAGTGCGATGCCAAATTCCTCTGCCGTCCAGCTCCCAGTGAAACCCTGCTTCCTCCAGACTTCTTCGAAAACACTAGCCTTAATCCATGATTACCAGAGGTCAGCTCCTACCCACAGAAATTACACTAACTCTCTGTGGCTCCTGCACAGCCTAATGAATTCTCATTCAGTTCATGAATTGGCTTGGGAGGAAAGGCACCAACTGGCTCCTGGACAAACTCCTTAGGCAGATGGAATCAGCGCAGTTGTCTTCCAAGAGGCAAAACCACTGCTCCACTTAAAACCCTGACTGCAGTGTGCTTTGTGATTAACGCTTAGTTTCACTAGATAGTGCTTTACAGAGTTTAAAGAAAAAAGAGCACGGTAATCCTAAGCAGCCTCTGGAGGATACAGGGGTGTTTTATCTGCTTAAGTCTCAGCCTCTACATCTTCACTCCACTCAGCCCACACTGAGCCTGAGGACCCCCCAAGACTATCACTCCCACTCGCTATTCTGATGCGCGTCGGCTCCAAGGTTCTCTCTCAAACAGAGCACATGATCTTTAAGGTCCCTTCCAACCCAAACCATTCTATGATTCTATGTCGCCCTGCCACCTGGAAAGGCCGTATCGGAAAGCCTGGTACATACTGTGGCCGTGCCAATACCCCACTTCTCCTCCAGCGCTAGGACAAACAGGAACATCTCGTGGTGCAATAGCACCCTGAGACTGTGCGATTTGTTTTAATCTGGCAAAGGCTTTTGCAAGATGCTCTGTAGGAGGCTGAGGCAGAGAAATAAGTAACTTAACGATTGTGAAACTACAGATAAGTTAGCTGATTCATCATTTGTTTCATGCCTTTAGGATTTCTTCACTTTGTATCAGACATCTGTACTACCCTGGACCAAAATATTTGTTCCAGAGGTGCAGAGGCCTTCTGCTGATATATTCAGACCCCGGTTGACAGCTGGGGAACCACAGCTTCTCTGTGCTGGCAGTACGGGAGCCAGGGCCAGAGAGCACCTGTCTCCTCATCACCCCTGGTCCCCGCACAGCCCCTTCCTCTCTCGGTATTTGACGCTGCCGATCACAAGCACCAGCAACGCACACAGACACCGATGGCAGGCGGTTCTTCCCACCTGCATCCTGCAAGGCTCCCTCACCCTTCTATTTTTGCATGAGTTGGAGGCTTGTTTCAAATTCTGTTAATTATTTGAATGAAATGTCCAAACCAGAAGCAAGTACTGGCTGCAGAGTCTTTGGGCAAGAGCTCAGGACTGCCGGCAGTGCTACAAAAGTTCTGTTAGGGTCACGCTGTCCCACAGCCCCACCGTGTAGAAATGAAGTCGGGGTTCCTACGCTTCACCTCACAGCAGTTTTTCTTGCCGGTGCTTAGACCTAGAATGACTCATGGCCTGGTGGTTAAGGTGACCACAGAATCTTTTAGGTTGGAAAAGACCTTTAACCAGTTTTAATTACTTAGTAATGGAGACATCAGCATGTGCGAGGTGTCAGGTCCTTCGGGCAGAGAGAGGCGTTATCAGCCTAGTGCAGGTCTCTAGACAACCACGCTTCTTAAGAAAGAGGAGAACCATCATTTGAAACAAAGGACTCCATAAGAAAAGAGGTGGCCATTCCTGTGTTTTGTAAGTGTCCTGATATTGTTGGTGTGTGTTGGGAATGCTTTTGAAATCAAGGCCATGAGAGGCATCTCGTTTCTCAATCCATATCACTTTAGATGAGAGATAAACACCAACCTTTGTCATCTGACAGATCAGATGTTTATGGACATGCTCACCAAAAAAAAAAAAAAAAAATCACTGAAGTATTCCCCTAAACTTCATGGTTAAAAAATAAAAGATACTGATAGTGTTTAGAATCCCACTGGATTAATCAGCTGTTGAGCAGAAATTGAGTCAAGATTCATTTAGCACCTAAAGTCCTAATTTAAATACACAAGTGCTGTTTCTGGGAACAAATCAGACCAAACTGTTACTTTCTATCTGAGAACAGGTCCTTTATGAGACTCCTAGTGGTACATATAAGAAACCCTCTTGGAATTTTGACACATAATAGTTTCTAGAAAAAATGGATCTTAGCATACTGTGTGAAAACAGAGCGCTCTTCTCAGAAACCACCTTTTTTCCGGTTAACAGCTTAAAAAACTGTTACAGATTTCTCCAGGCTAATATTTTTTCTCATTGCTTCGTATGTCAATATATAACCCTGGGAGCTGTTCAGAAGGCTTAGCGGGAACAAGTCATTGGTTCCAATACTCCTAGTATACAAGACGTCCAGACCAGTCCAGAACACACACAATAGCTTATACTGTGGAAATCACTCAAAAGATATGAATATACCATCTCTGATTAGTTACACGCTGATGGCTGATAGTGAAAGTTAGTTTTTCTTGAGACTTTCACCAAAAATTCCCACAAACTTGCTTTTGCAAATAACAATCTACAAAATAAATTCTTTACAATAAAGAACCAATTTTCCTAGGACACGATTTTCTGTGATTTAATAAAAAAGGGCCTAGTTTTCTAATTTGTTTGTTTGCTTAAAATAAGAAAACCCTATCTTAATAGAACTTCAGCTTACAGCACACAAAGCAGCACTCAGCAATAAGGTTTACTGATATCGTTTCATCATTTTCACTCTTTGCGAGTGCAAAACACAAGTGAGACAACGCACCAAGATATGCTAATAACACCTACTGTTTACAAATTATGAAAGCCAAAGGGAGTTTTCGACACTCCCAGATGGGATCTGGGTGGACAGACTGGCTCCTATGCCAGACATTTGCACGTTCTTGGACAAGTAACCCTCAAATGCTAACGACAGGAGTTTACTGTCTGTAACACGAACTACCTTTAAGCCTCGATCGCCACCCAAGCAGCAGCCCAGCTGGGACACCTACCCATGCTTCAAGGCCATTTTAATAAAGCCCTTCCTCTTGAGGATGTTCAAAGTCAAACTCCCAGGATGCGCGTTCAGAGACTCCTCTGCTCCTCCGATCACAATGATGGACGCGTGGCCACCTCCTTCGTTATTCAGCACGTACGAGACGCTCTCCTTGGATGCGGAAACCATTCCTTCGGGAGCAAACATTTCAAGAGTGACCTCTGGATCTCACGTGCAAGCACAGCAGAATGTAGAAAACATTTCAAGATGTTGAAATCTTGAATGGCCACAGACGCTGCCAAGAGGCAGCAGCTATGGCCACACAGCAGGTGCACATGAATGCAGGCACAGAGGGTTTAACAATGGATGGAGGACTCGTGAACTCAGACACAGACCTACAGTGCCGAGCTGACCCCCTGCATTCTTTTCAAAGCTATGAAGCAGCAGATCCACCCAAGGCAATGGCACAATGGTGGCAGGAGCAGCAAAAGACTCACTTGTACCATTCCCAGTGGCTGCACCAGCTCATTCTCTCCTACCCTGGTCTGGCACTAGTCGACCTATTTAGACTAAAATAACATATGTGATGCTTTTCTGGTACTCTGCTGAGCTCGATACTTCGATCAGAGGCACCCTGCCATACGAGACTTCAGCATCAACTTAGACTTGTACTTCGAACCCCTCGCTTTCTGACAGCTACGCACCTAACCCCTCCGCAGTTCCTCTGTGCTGCTTACGTCAAAGGCTCGCCGTGGTACCATGCACCCAGAAGCCACATTTGATTACACTGTGTTGAATTAACAGCCCAAATAACAATCGAGAGATGAAGTCTAGTTTTCACTGCTGTTGCTCGTGATGGGGCTAGTACCAAAGCATGCTCTTTTGGATGCTACGCAGAGACTCCATCCCCTGTTACCTGCTTGCTTTTTTCCCCCATTAGGGACCCTACAACGTGGATTATGAATATCTCACAAGAATGGGCAGGCGATTGTGTTCTAGTTTCTATCTGGCCACCAATCATAGAATCATAGAATGGTTTGGGTGGGAAGGGACCTTAAAGCCCATCCAGTTCCAACCCCCCTGCCATGGTCAGGGACACCTTCCACTAGACCAGGTTGCTCCAAGCCTCATCCAGCCTGGCCTTGGACACTTCCAGGGATGGGGCATCCACAGCTTCTCTGGGCAACCTGTCCCAGTGCCTCCCCACCCTCTCCAAGAAGAACTTCTTCCTGATATCCAATCTAAACCTCCCCACTTGCAATTTAAACCCGTTACCCCTTGTGCTGTCACTACAGGCCCTTGTAAAAAGTCCTCTCCCACCCTTGGCCCTGCTCCCCGCTCGCTCACACAGCGGCTCGGCACTGCCTGGCAGGCCTCGGAGAGTGGGAGATGAACCACTGTCCTCAGAGCATGGCTCCCAGTACGTGGAAGGTTTTGCAAGTGTTTTATGATTTGGCTGATAACCGGCATTATACCAAAGGTCCCCTCTGGTTTATCAGCTGCATACCTGTGAAAAGTGAGCTACAATGCTGACTATCCTTTAGCAGGCGTTTTACTCCAGTTGTTTCTCCTCTAGCAGGTAAATATTTGTTCCTGTGGGTCAAGATGCCAAAATGGTGTAAAGCTGATTACCAGGCTAGGCAATGTTTAAAACTGTCATCTTCCACCATGGCAAATCATTTCCCTTTGCAAGCCTGAAAAAATCCCTTCAGAAATAACATTAGCATGGAAGGGCATTCTCTGGTATGTTAAAGTATACATGGATATGTATATATCCATGAAGATGCTCTGATGACTGGAGCCCCTCTGCTATGGGGACAGGCTGAGAGAGTTGGGCTTGTTCAGCCTGGAGAAGAGAAGGCTCCGGGGAGACCTTATAGCACCTTCCAGTGCCTGAAGGGGCTACAAGGAAGCTGGGGGGGACTTTTTACAAGGGCCTGTAGTGACAGGACAAGGGGTAACGGGTTTAAATTGAAAGTGGGGAGGTTTAGATTAGAGATCAGGAAGAAGTTCTTCCTGGAGAGGGTGGGGAGGCACTGGGACAGGTTGCCCAGAGAAGCTGTGGATGCCCCATCCCTGGATGTGTTCAAGGCCAAGCTGGATGAGGCTTGGAGCAACCTGGTCTAGTGGAAGGTGTCCCTGCCCATGGCAGGGGGGTTGGAACTAGATGATCTTTAAGGTCCCTTCCAACCCAAACCATTCTATGATTCTATATGCAATTCTGATACTAATTCTTGCTACATTCTTCTGTTCCCCAAGCTTATTGCTTGTTATTTTACCTGTTATTACTGCAGTACCAGCCATGAATATCACCCCTTGATGACAAGCGCTGCTCAGAAGAAAGAAAAAACGTTCCTTTGTTTGTCTTCAGAGTTTACACCTCCCTTAAAATGACACAAATTTGCAATATGGGACCCCAATCAGAAGCAGGTAATTAACTTCTCACTAGAAAGGTATTCGTAACGAGCAGGACTTTAAGCCTCTCAGGTAAGAGATTATCCTCCGCTTGTTGTACTAGTGCCTGCACTTATTTATCAATATAAATTCATATGCCCTCTTCCTAAATCACTGGTATGCAATACTGCTGCCTCACAGTTCCAGGGAAAAACAGCAATTTTTTTTCAGAAAGGAAAAAAAAAAGCTCAGTGATACAGTTTAACCAAGCCATTAATAAACCTTTCAGGTTGTTGTGCCTCCACAGTTTATGGTAACACAGAGGTTTAATTTAGCCCCAACGCTGATCCTTCTGAAGTGAAATTACTTACTGTTTACAGGCACAGGAATAGACCCTACACATGAAGCACAAGCTATAACGTGGAGCAACAGCTGAGACATTCTGCTTTTACCTACCAGCGCTCATTATGTATTCTCTGAAGAAGGGACAGCCGAACCAGATGGGCATGATATGAAGATATGGAGTAAGCCCAGGAAATAAATTTTTGAAACTTGGACCGGTGCAAAAGTTTCCAAAGGCTCCAGCTACCAGGACCCCATGAGGGTGAAAGCCAAGTAAGTAGTTGTGATTTGGATTCAGATCTGAAGTTTTTATAAGCTGAAATATAGAGACAGTGGAGGACATTATAATACTTACCGCAGATGGATTGCCAAAACGAGCACGGAGTTTGCATATTGACAGGACACAGAACCGATGACAACTCATTTCCTCCTGAGCACTTTAAACTACTGGCCCATTTTACAGCTGAACAAAGTTTAAGTAGATGTGTCCCAAGATACCGCATCTAGCATTTACTGTACTGAGGCACTGTCTTGTGACCCAACAGTCCAAGTAGAAAATCAGCCCTTGCCCCTTTTTGTCACTCTATCTCAGACTTCCCAAGTTTTAAGAAATTAAGTCCACTCTGGAGTAGGTATTAGAATTTTACCAAAGATGAGTCTTAGACATTTGTCCACACTTACGGCTATTCAAGCTGCCTCTGTTCCACTGTTTACAGTTCTGTGAGAAACCTTTTACTCACATGAATGGGAAAATATTCCCTAAAGTACTTCCAAACAGTCCAGCTCCTGACCCACTGGGACCGTCTGCCCCCTGTGCACGGCGTTTCCCAGTCGACGTAGAGCCACAGCAGGTACAGAACAGCGAGGAACCAGAAATTGCTCAGGATCAGGATCACGAAGAACCCACAGCAAAACTCTGCTACAAGAGACAAAAAGGCAAACCACAGAAAGCATTAATCACGTCTTTTAAGGCCTTCAATTCCCAGCCTTGATATTCTTATTACAGGTGCTACTCAAAATGCATACAAACTGGTTAGCTTGTTCCACGTTGGTGAATGTTGCTACACTGAGGGTGAACGCTAATGCTTGGTAGAGAGCAGCTGGTTTACCCAAGGCAGAATGAAAGGAGCCAGCAAGAGCTAACAAAGATGTACGGATCAGTAAGCGAGAAGGAAGGAGAGCTAGGGAAGGAAAGAGGGGACCGAGGGCCACAGCAACCTCTCTTTTCTAATGGGAGTGGTGTCAGGCAATCGTCCCCTTTCTGTTTTTTAATTTCTCTACCCACAGAATAGGGATGGTAGTTCTGCTCCCATTGAGAAGTGCCCCATGCCTGCCCACGGAGATGCACTAGACAAGACCAAAACATTAAGAGGCTCCTTTTCAGCCTCTACACACATCCCCGTAAGTGGAAACTCACCATTGCTATGGGAACACAACAGCAGTTTTAAGTCCCGATACCTTCAGACCCAGGTTAGTAGGAATGGTAGCATCCTACCACAATAACGATACGTAGGAAGTCTATTATACACAGTTCAAAAAGGCAGAAAACGTTGTTTGATTAACCAGAACGTGTTACCTTGAGGCTCAACCAAAATAACCAAAGTACATCAGGCAATATTTGGCTAACGCAGTGTTAAGTATTATCAGAACTGAAAACGTTGAAATAAGCAGATGGACCAACAGTAAAAACCACTCATCCTAGTTATGATCAGCTTCACTCCACAGAGAGACTACTTGGGCATTGAAAAGTCACAGCCGGCTTCAAGCTGCTGAAATTCAGAGCTTAACCTGGCCTATGGGCACTCTTGTGTTTCCTCCAACCCTGAATACTTATTTTTTCTGAACTTCAGCCAGCTTGTCCTTGTGCGCAGTCTGACCGTGCCGTCAGAGTGGAAGTGACTATATTGTCACGGGGTTACCGAGCGCTACTGTAGAACCCAGAAACAGACAGAGCAAGCAAAGATGCTGGCTAGATTCAGCGGGAAAAAGGGATGCACATTCCAATTTCTGTCAGGGAATGAGAAGAAAAATAAGGCACTGCATTCGCTCCAAGGAAGGGAGAAGGGAACAACCACAAGCAAAACCAGACATGGGATCAAATCCACTGTTTTGAAGGATACTCCATCCTTCAGTACCATCAGTACAGAAGCTCGCTGCTTCACGCTTAAACAGGCAACCCTGGTCTTGTGCAGAGAAGCACCTCGGTGAGAGCTCTAGAAAAACACCACAGCTGACTGAAGCCCACAGACCTCCAAAGTCCACCTGGAAACCTCCCAAAAGCTGCAACAAGTTCTAGGGAAGGTGGCTAATGCAGGACGAGTAACACAGGTGAAAGGTGACGACTGCACAGCTCCCGAGGGAGAACTCCCTGGGACTCAGCAACACTTCGAAACACAGCACAGACATACTTTTGAGGAAAAGACATTATCTGTTCTTTGAAGAAGAGATCCTGAAACTATAGAAATTTCTAGAAATGCTCATCTGGACAGGAAGCCAAGGTTCACAGTCCAAGTTTGAATGAGAAGGGTTTTTTAATTGCCATAAATCAATTCATTTCAAGTTGTTATGCAAAAGTCAGTAAATATTTGTATTTCTTGCCCTTTCTTTCTGAGGACTTTTGGCTCAGTTCAGGATCACTTGGTTTTTTACTGTCAAGTTTCCCAGCCAAACAGCTGAAAGGTGCTTTGGATCAAAGCATCCTTGCTGTGAGAGCTAACGAAACCAGCAGTGGCTAAGTGCCAGACAGCACTATTTGATACCTTGCAGACAAATCTACCTGAGATCAACAACCTCACTGCTTCGCTCCAGCTAGAACACGTGCCTGCGCGCACCTAAGGTCTGGGGAGATACGTACGCAGTCAGCACTTCCTAAGGGGAGCTCAGCATCGTGTAGGACTAAAGCTGATTTACTGCTGCATTTGCAACGAGATGCACAAAGCTAATGCCTTTTACCATACCTCCTAATTATTTCAGTGTATTAACAGCCTGCTAGATGAGTTCAACACTGATGACTCAGAACTAACGAACCTATAAACACAAAACCAGTGTTTTCTCCTTCAGAGAAGGCATTGAGTAAATACATGGCAAGCACTTAACCAAAATTTATAAACAAATTCCAGGCAAAAGGTGAATAACCTTGAATTGGGCACTTGACTACATCACTGCCTCCTTGGAGGTAGTTCCAGTGTACACTGTAAGCACAATTTTTTGCTTAAAATTGATTTAAAGCTTTGAAAATGCCTCTGTGGTGTATTGGAAGAGCAGGGAAAAAGGGAAGCAATATGGATTCAAAGACAATCACTGCCATGGGACTCTGAACATCGGTTTGCCAGCCAGCATAAGTGAGACTTTACATCCCCTTTCCTCCACTTCCCCACCAACATGTGGATACTCATCGGCTGCAGGAAATGGATGGAAAATTCCATATTGGTATCTAGCAGCACTGGCAGCCATCCTGCCCAATGATGTTTGAACACCTGATACCTGACCCATTAAATAGGCTCTAAGTTTGCAGCTGTAGGCACCAAATTCATAAAATAGTTAAATACCCCAGAGCTACGAAGTAGGAAACCAGCACATTGGGTGGGGAAATACAGGTGATCCCAGCAACTGGAAGCTGCGAATGCATTTGCAGTTACTAAGGAGTCAAAAACGCTTGAGTAATATCTATTGTGAGGGCCACCAAATCTAAGACTGTCCACTAGAAGGGCCCCCCATCACCCTCAGAGCAGCCACAGACCATGCCTGGCCAGTGCAGATATGCCCTAGGTGGCCAGGGTGCTCATCTCAACCCAACCAGCACTACAGGCTCCCCGTAGCACCCCACAGAGCCGTGCAAAGCAGCTCGCACCTAGCCCTCCGGACTGCTCGACAACTCAGACGGGTCTGCGCTGCAAGCCAGTTAAAGATTCCCACATACCCCTAGCCACCTTGCCTCTAAACACAGTGTGCTGCTGGGTCTTCCAGAGCTGGAGACCTTCAGAGTTCAGTGATCTGAACCTCATCCCACAAAGGACTCAGTCAGGACATCTTTATCCCACTGGCTTTCTAGTGAATACACAGGTAGAGATGCTGGTTCTAATATTTATGCTCCCCTGGGCTTTATGAGTACAGTGCACAGCAACGCACAAAGCAAGCGGAAAAGCTCATTTCCTCCATCTACGGCCACGGGGGGAGCGGAACCCAAGAGGATACCTGCTTCAACAACCACGGTGATGTACTTAGAACAGTCCTTTCCTCACCATTTGCCTTCACAGCAGCAATGCCTCCGAGCTGGGCGCCTGAGGAAGAGAATGCTGGAGGGAACACGCCGGAACGGCACAGGCACGAGTCCCTAATGAAACGCTTCTCTCTGTTATCCCTCCAAGTACCACTGGTAAGTTGATTTTGGCATTACAAAAATGACTGTCCCTGCTTATTGGATTCTTTCATCAGGGGAAAAGAAAAAATTTAAAAATCATCCTTAATTGCTGAAAATACTTTCCAAATTAGTTATAAATCGTAAAGAGATAGAAATTTAAATAACACATACAGCAAAGGGGTTCCAACAGTCCCACCAAAGGAAGACCTGAGACAACAGGCAACAACCTGCCAAGGCAACAGTAAGCAGGTTCATGCCCTGCAGAGTACCACAAAAGGCTCTTTAGAAACGGGGTCACGGTGGCAGCATGCTCCTCTGTAGAGCCCGCTAGTCTGTGCCCTTCTGCCCATGCACAGATCCCCACCAGACGCCCAGGAACTTTTCACCCATGGCAGGTATGGACTTGCCCAGCGAAGAACAAGCTGGGAATTCTCAAACTAACTGCGCTGGGTATTGGTGAAGGCCACAGAAATTTGGTAGCCAACCCCAGGACGGAGGTGGTAAGGAGGTCAGCACTTGTTGGATACACAGCAGCCTCCTGGAGCGGAGGTCCCTTCTCAGTTTATTGGTGACGATGGGGAGGCCCAGTCACAGGGGTGTTTAAGCATTCCTACCAAGGGAAGGGATTTCAACACTACTGTGATAACAAATACAAACCCTCAGATGCCGAGGTTTGGAGCCTAGTTTAAAGGCTTGATTACTCTGGAATTTCGTTCCCATTCCCAAGCAAGCAGACCTTCCATTGGCAAATACTGATAAACTAGAGTGCTGAGCACTGCTGACTTGCAGATAGAGTGGTCTGGATACAGTAAATCCCTGAGTTACTCATTACCAAACCCTGAGACAGCATGCCCAATTCAGCCTGCGTTTCCCATTTCTTTTACTGCTCCTTAGGCACCCATGACCGGTTACGTCCACATGCAGGCTGCTGCCAAGCCAGGGCCTCCGGCCTGATGCAGCACAGCCGTTTTCCTCTTCGTATTCTCAGGAGGTACAAATATACACGGAGACATGGTTAAATTCCCGCCCTGAGATGTAGGCAACAGAGGTGGCATTCCTAGAAATACTAGTCAGGCGAGCATCAGTAAGTACCCTGTTATTCCCAGCGATCACACATCAGTCCCTGCCCACAGTCCAGCTCCAGGGGGACATGAATACAGACTGACGGGACAAGCAGCAATCCCCGCCGGCTTGCTACGAAAGGCTCACAGAGCTTCGCTGGGATTTCTTAGGGATCAGAAGAGTGTTTTTTTAAAAAAAGGCATTAAGGAAGAATGAGAGCATTTAATGAGCCCGCCACAGCTGATGAATTAAATCAACACCAGATAACAAAACATCATGACATGTTTGGGGACAGGTAAGTTTTTGCTTTATCGCACATTACACTGACACCTGCTTTCTCAGCACTTCAGTCACTTATTATTCCAGCAGCAATATCTCACTCTGTGGCAAATGTTTCATCATTTCTGCTCTTTTGGGGAAGCCAGACCCACACAACTCGACACTGTCGCCAGCCAGCTTCAATTGACAGAGCACTTCGTCCTGCATGCACAGGAGTTTAATCACCAGAGAACAGGATGT